CTGAATGCTCTTGAGGAAGACCAGCGTGTGAAAAAGAGACTGGTGGAAATCATTGAGACATCAGAACAAAAAGCATCCGAAAACTATTCAAAAATGTCCAATACACTGGAAAGACTTACCACATCGATTGTTGATGGGTTTTCTCTTCTGAAACAGGTCATTCATGCACCTGCACAACCACCACACTACATGCCATATGAGCCAAGAGGTCCGATGTATTCGCACACAATGGCCCACCATTCTGTCCACCAAAACTCAGCAAATTACCCATACCCAAACAACTCCACTTCTGACAGAACACGTCAAAACACAAGACCAGGAAACACTATGAACACTGAAGCTGTGTTCCACACACCTGCTGAAGCCACTGACCAATTTTCATTCAGTCAGGCCCTTTTTAATGACCAGTAGAGTACTGTTTTATACATCGAAACAAGTCTGGTACAGTTAAGTATATACAAGTTCCACTTTTGCACAAGGTTGCACACATGTCAGGTTGTTAATCACAGTGTTATTTACTCTGACAGTGTTTTTTTTCTGTTTGCTATCTTTTTATACATACTGTGAAAAGCTTAAAATGTAGCAATTGCACAATACTTTAACTATTTACATTTTTGTTACGTGAATCTTTATAAGAGTGGTGATCTAGTCCAGTCCTTGGGAGCTACTGCTACTTAGATGTATTTCTCCAAAACACCACTATCAAATACATACTGATGATTGAAATCAGCTATTTCATACTGGTTTGTTGAAGAAAATGCAGCTGAAATGTACCTGTGGTAGCTCCCAAGTTATGGACTTGGGCATCACTGATTTAAAAGTGTACAGTAACTGTGCTGCTTTTCTCCCATGTTTAAAAAGCTTTATCTGTTGTAGATCTGTTATAATCTGATCTGTTCATAAATGAAACACAAAATAAGAACATGTTAAGTGTGTTCGTTTGAATAAATTGACAAACATTTTAAAAGCAAGTTTCTTTATGTGAATTTTTGTGAATATGACATTTATCAGTTACAAATACAGTCATGTTCATCAGAAAGTATTGGCAGCACTATTTAATACACTACAGGTCCAATTTTAAGAGAGAAAAGTAAAATCATTTCACTTAAAAGTCTGTCTAATGAGCTACAAACTATTATATAATGTATCTAAATCCTGGGTGGTAGCTTTTCATGCATTAATAGAATGAAATGCAATAACATTGCACAAAACAATTTAAAAATTCTCTAACATACATGGTGCTAACTATAACGTTTTTTTATGAAAAAACAACGCAGTCTGCTAAATAGTTCACAGGTTTTTGTGTTTATGGATCCAGACACTGAGTGAGGACTCTCCTGACCCGCTTTCCTTCTGCTGCCAAGCTGTCTCCTCTGACCACTGGCTGTGTGTCCGGTTGATTGTTCCTGTCATGTTGAATAGCTTCAGTTATTCTGTTTTCATCCACAGTGTCTTTTGATGCCTCACAAAAATTGTGCAACACAAAACATGCATATATAACAAATGGAAGATCGTTCATATTGATGTCCATGGCTCTCCTCAGGGCTCCAAATCGGGCTTTTAGTCTTCCAAATGCACATTCAATCACCATTCTAGCTCGGCACAACGAAAGTCCAAAGTACTGCTCCTGAACATTGCTTCCTCCGTTAGCATATTCTTTCATCAGGTAAGGTAGAAGTGGGTATGCAGGGTCACCCAGTATGTAAATGGGTATAGCGTCTTCGTTCTCCACAATTTGTCTTGGACAGGGGGGAATCTTCATGTTTTTCAGATTTGTGTTTATTGTGGAGTTAGCAAAAACTCTGGCATCATGCACACTCCCTGGCCATTTCACAACTACATCAATAAAGCTGTACTTGTAATCACAGGTGGCTTGTATGTTAAGAGAAAACCTCCCCTTCCTATTTAGGTACTCTGTAGAATTAGCTGATGGCTGCTTTATCTCCACATGAGTCCCATCCACAGCTCCAAGGCACTGAGGGAGACCATAAGCCTGCTCAAATCCCTCAACAAGTGCACGCACAGCAGTCTCTGTTGTTGGCATTTTTATGTAAGATGGTCCCAAGTACACAGTTATAGCCTTACACACCTCTCTAATTATGTTTGAGACTACTTGTCTTGATAAGCCAAATGCATTGGCCGTTTTACGCAGTCTTCCCTCGTCAGCCAAATAATATAGCGTGCATGCAACTTTTTTGACCACACAGACTGGAGATCGCATTACAGTACTCTTCCCTTGAATGTAAGGAAGGAGTAACTCCGAGAGCGACAGTAATGACGACCGTGACATTCTGAAGTTCTCACGCCATTCCTGTGGGAGAACAATTTCCTTCTCAAAGTTTTCCCACCAGCCAGCAGTGCGTCCAGGTCTGATCCAAAACCGGCGACGGCGACGCTGAATGGCGGTATTGTGCCTCCGTATCGGTAGGGATAGTTGCTGTAAAAGAGCTGAACGCCAAACGCTTTTTCTCCTTTGTAATTCCATCTGTTGGAGCAGTTGTGCTTGTAAAAACAAGCAAGCAAAAATTGCCTGAACCAGCGTTACAATTAGTACTTCCCTAAACGCAGTCATTTTCCCTCCGAATGAATGGGCAAACAAAAACAATTGTCGCACATGTGACGTCAGCGCCGCGCTGCACCATCTGTCGCAGACATAATGCGCATATCTCCGGTTCCGAAAGTCCACACGCAAACCCGAAAGAGGAGATTTCTCAAATCTCCACTTTGGTCGGAGTTTTTGTTATTATTCGTTTATAGTTACATCAACCGGAGTTCACGTGTGGATGAAAGGCCACACCGCATGATAAACTATTCGGTTTTCCTGATATCCGGCTACGTGTGTACAGGGCCTGAGGAACAGCTTCTACCCTGAGGCTGTTAGACTCATGAATCTCTAACTAGAATAATCACTGTGAAAAACCATATCATGTTGCTGCTGATCTGTTTCATGTTGCTGCTGATCTGTTTCATGTTGCTGCTGATCTGTTTCAATGTTGATGTGTTCATGCGTGCACATCTGCTCACGAACTCATGTTCATGTTTGTGCTGATGTTCAATGTTTTATGTTATGAGTGCTTAGTGTATATTTAGTTGATGTTTTACTTAGTTCATATCTTAGATGTTATTACTGTTTTTCTTAGACATTTTATTGTTGGATGTAACTGGGACCCCGTGTACATAATTTCGCTCCACCACATGTACCACATGAGGTGCGAATGACAATAAAGAAACTCTGACTCTGACTCTGATGGGCTCAGGAACACTTCCAGAGATCATTGCCTGGAAACATGACACGTTTCCAAAACGCTGGTTAAAGTCAACTCATTACATAAAAAGGAAATGTTTTCTGTGGGCCACAAGTTGTTTGGATCAAAGCAAGGTGTAAAACTGTTCTTTGGTCAAATTAACCCAGATTTGACATTATTTTACCACAACATTTGCACTGAAGAGGAAAATGACTGGTACGTGGGTGCATTAGTGTCCATGGCATGGGCAACTTTACACGTTTGAAAAGGCACCATCAATGCGCATTAGTACATAAAGGTTTTAGAACAACTTATACTCTCATTCAGAAAAAAAAAAGTAGCATGAATCCTACATCAGATAAGAATGGGACAACAGTTCCTACTAAAAAGTCCAGCACCTGGTGTCCTGAGTTAAATGTTTGCAGGCTGTTTCCACCCTCCTGGCCCATTTTCTTTTTAGATTTTCTGCTTTAAATGTAAAATTACCCCCGCCCCCACCACCACCACCACCACCAAAAAAAAAAAAAAAAAACAAGTACTATTTTAGTTTCAACATTTGATTTGTGCACTGTTTCACCACGTTCCATTGTTAATAAAATTTGGGTTTATGAGATTTGCAAATTGTTGCATTCTGTTGTTTACATTTTAGACAACCTCCTAAGGTTTTCAGAACTGGGTTTGCATTTAGTCAGTCCAGCAGATTCTCTCTGTCCTTGATGTGTGGTTTGAAGACAGAAGACAAAGTCAGGAGTGAGGAAAATGTGAGTTTATCTCAACTAATATCATCATCACAAGATTAAACAATACTTTTTCTTCTAATAACATGTGGAGCAAGTTAGAACCTGCTTGGAAGGAGAAGATCATGGTGGGATAACATAAGGTAGAGGGATCAGTTTCAAGAGGAACATCTGTGAAGTCATGCTTACAATGAAGCAAAATTGATTATTTTCAGATATCATCGTTGCCAAAACAAACAAACAAAAAAACAAGATAAAAATTGTGAAATGTCCAGACCTTAAAACTTTTTTTTTATGAATGTGAGCTCAAATGAAAATTGTCAATATTTAAAAACTCGTTTTTATTAGTAAGATTATGTGCGTTTTTATTGCATCGCATGGAGTTATCCTGTTTTGTAGCACGTTCTGTAAGACTCCACAAAGCCCACAGAAGCGGTTTTAGGGTAACACAGTAGTTCAAAAAAACACCAGACACTGAAGAATAGAAGCCAAAACTGTATCCGTGATGTCACGGGTGAGTCTGTGGTGAAATTTAACACCGCCAGCTGGTTGGAGTTGTGATGGGGTGAAGACGGGTCCACCCGCATCCGTGCAAGTCACGGCACATTCTGGAGCTAGTGCCTGGAGGAAACGACGCACAGAAGTGAATCTTCTGCTGTGCAGACCAGGACGAACTCTTCCTTTCTTGTTTCCCACAGAGCAGACCGACTTATTGCTCTCCAAGCCGCCTCTCCTTTTGCGCGTCTTGGATAGAAATAACGCGATCATTGCGCGCCGCAGAGCGCAAAGCATCCGACATTTGTTTTAATTCCTTTATTTTTTATTTTTTTAAGTGGAAGAGATCTCACCTCCGGAGTGCAGCAGTGGCATGAAGAGTTTCTGAGGTGGCAGCCATCCTCTGTCCACTTTACGTTTCCTTTGGCTGTTCCCAAAGGGTTAGCCCATCCATGCGCAGGCATCCCCTCGAGCGTGATTCTGTTTTCACCCAGATCTCTGCTGCCTGGACAAATGCATACAAATGCATTTAGGAGCTCAACGGACAAGGAGTGGACACGTTTCCGCGGCTGCAGCGTAAGTATGCAGACCCCACTCTGCATGTGCAACAGTTCCAGCTGTTCCCAAAGCTGGTTCTACCTTGAAACGGTTCTTTGGCGTATTTTCTTGACAGGGATTGACCGAACAAGTCCCAGCAGCTCCAAGCTTTTGCCACATGAACTCTAAACTTTGATATCACTGCTCATCTTATTAGATGTGCTAACACTTGTTTCTCTTTCTTTATCTTTGCTTTTTTTTGTAAGTTCTATACATTTTGTAGCAGTTTTTTTTTTTTTTTCATTCCCATCTGCAACTGCTAACTGCCGAGTTCATGCCATGTGTGCATTTGGACTTTGACAGATTTGAATATTTTAGTCTGACTCTGTCTTGGCTTTGAACTCAGCACAAGAACATGCAGCCAAACATGAAAAGCTGAAAACCATGTGGTCTGCTGCAGGAAGGCTTCACTCACAGTTATGAGCTGGAAAATAAACACTGAGGCATAGGGAGACAAGATGAATGGGGATGTCTTTGGAGCAAAGATGCATATTCAGCAGGGGGCATTATAAACCTTCAAGTGGCTGTTTAGGTTTTATAGGCCTCAAATGGAAAACAACAACAACAACACCAACATATTTGCAACTGTGAACCTAAACATTTGTTATGGAAGTGTATATTATCTGCATGTTGTTGTCTGGTTAAATTCAGCTGGTTCAGTGAATAAGACCACTAAACTTTTAGTAATACTCTGATTTCTTCTTTAAAAAAAGCACTTTTTCCTTCCATGAAAATGAGAACCTGATGGGAGGACGGAGCTGAAGGAGAATAAACGTGACCTCCTCTGAATTCACAGACAGTGCTTGTGTGTATGCATCAGTGGTTAACTGGCTCTTGGGCTCCAGACAATCACCCACTGTTGAAGGCATGGCTCTTCCACTTCTGGCAACAATTGGATGGTATGGTTGTTGAAATGCAGCCACTCACATGCATCCAGTCCAGTTGATGCACACACAACAGGCTCATGAAGCCATGATTCCTTTAAAGTTGGCTTCTTTTATGATTGATTGTGGAGTATGGTGCAAATCATTCACTGTTATGTTAAGTGTAATGCAGAGAGTTGGAAGGTGTTATTAAAATGCATCCCAAGGAACCAAAGTACTCTTAACAAAGTACTATAATGATATGCTATTCATTTGGACCACCATTAAGGTAACATAGCTGGTAATATCCACAGGATTTTTCTGATCCTTCTTCTAAAATAGCCTCTTAGTTTCCCACCTTGCTGCAGTGTGCATACATCAGAGGTTGTGTGAGTGAGTCTAGTTAAGTCTCCTAACATCTTCAGGTTCCTCTGCAGCATGAAAGGACAAACCAATAAAGATCAGTGGAGTTTACTCACAGCTCTTTGCTTGCTCTCAGTCTTGTGGACTAAGTCAATCTTTGCACTGGTCTGCCATGACCCCTTGACGCCAGCTGAGTTAGTTGACTAACACACATTCCCTTATCATAGAATATGACATGGTGCTTTTAAAAATACCATGTTAAAACTTTATTTTATTCATCATCTGCTTTGAGTAACTATAATCCTCATTATCTTGAAACGAATGAATTAATCCTCATCGTCAGTTCTGTTGCTGGCTGCCGTTTGGAAATGTGTAGACAAAGCTAAAACAAAGCTATGGAAAACAAACTGGTGGCATATCAGTCAGTTTTTTTCTTCTCCAGGAAAGTTTATGTTGAAAAAGCGAATCAAAGCATGCAGCAACAGAACACTTGTAAGAGCCCTAAACAGCAAAGAGTATCTGTTAGTTGCAGAAAAACAGCGGAAGTCATTTTTTAGATGATCTTTGAGCAACAGTGTAGTTTTTCAGAGCTCCATGTCAGTCAGAGTCACTTTGTTGTTTCAAGTTATTGCATTTTTTCCAGTTCAGCTCAGCTCCAGCTTTGCTAAAGGAGCATGAAATGTCTAAGGTCAAGCATTGTAAAGCTCAATTATGTGAAAAATCACCCTCTGTGGAGCACTTCCAAAGATCACCACAGTTCTTCCTCAAGCAAACATTATTCAGGAGAAAAGATTAAATCAGACAGGTCAGTCAAGGTAACGGCAGATTTTTTCTTTGCTTTTGGAATCTGAAAACACTTCTTTGCCATCGTACTTTTAGTCCACAAAAAGCAACACAAATAAAAGCCCCTTTCTCCAATAAAAGGGCTCACTTACAGTTTTATTGGTACCAATTCTGCTTTGCTCAATATGTTTTATATTTCTGAGCTGTTTGGATAAATTAATGGCTTTGTATGCTTTATTTCTCATTAACAGATTTATTTGGTACCCACCTGCCAAGTTAGACATCCTAACAGTTGAATGCCAACACTCACAAACTCACCTCCTGACAGAAACAGTGCTTTCCTTTTTCTTACGGACTCTGCAAACAGAACTTAAATGGGATTTTTGTTCTATAATTGCTGGACTTAATTGATCACTCCTGGGTTTTAATTATATGAATAGTTGTTAGGGATCCAAGCTCATTTCCAAGAGGAGGATAGTGAGGGTCTCTGTCTGCAGGAATGAGCCCATGTAGAAGTTGTGATTATTTATAGTCTTGACATGACACCCACTCCCCACATGTTGGTATTTCCCTTAGTCAACAGTGCTCTGTTTGGGGAGCTTTGTCCTGCTTGCAGTCGTTTCCATTATCTATTAGGACTTGGAAACACGCCATGACATTTTAAAAGGAACTATTTTGCAAAAAAACAATAACAATTATAGTATTTTATGTCTGCTTTTTGTCTATTCATCTTTCTTGTTTGCAAAATGCAGCAACCTTGCAGTGCAAAACCACATTGGTTTGAATCATTTTAAGCACTTATAAATGTACAGCACATGACTTTAGCTTTTTTGGTGAACGTCCTCATGAAACAGAGTCCAGATCCTGAGTCTGGGAGACAGACACGAGAGAAAACTGTGTGAATCAGCATCAGATGGCCTCACACTCCTGCTCTATATGGGAGTGTTGAGTTATATTTAATTCTTTTTCTTTAGTCTACTTTTAGTACCTGCCAGCTTTTAAGCAGAACCAGTTACTGGCTGGCCTTTTAAATGTCAAATATATCCACTTTCAACAAATGAATGATTGTTTTTATGTATTCCCAGCTCACTTTTCTTTAATACTCAGTGCCGGTCTTGGGAATTAGTCTCTATTGCCGGCTGTGGAATGTCACACCACCTCCCTGGATGGAGAGCAGGTGGCAGACATAGCTCATGGGGGTTCTGCTTGAAATCTGCCATTTTAAAGACTTTTTCCATTTTACGTTTGTTTCACTGTAGATTATATTTTCTAACCTGGGGAAAATTCACTTCAATTCAATTAGTAAAGTTCTCTATCTAAGGAAAAACAGACTAGGCTTTGTGTTTCAGAGAAACAAAGCTTTTAATCTAAGGGTCAGAGGTCATGGAAGAGAGATGTTGGTGTCACACATCTGTGTATCAAAAAAACCCAACAACTGTTTAATAACCTTGTTGCGGGTTCTGAACAACCTCTGTTCAGTGTCAGAGTAGAAAATTATGATGCTGGTTGTCATCAGTGTTTTAAGCAGCTGTTCTGCTGATGTGATTGATTATGAGTGAATGTGAATTGTGTTCTTTGAAACGTTACTGTGTGTAATTACACATGAATAATGTGGATTACAACTGTAAGGAGGAGACCAACACAGTATACAGTCAGTTCTTTTTTATTTTTATTTTTTGCATTTTTCCTCTACTTCACTTAGTTTAATTCCCTTAAATCTTTAATTTAACTAAATCTGCAGAGATTGGACTGATTTTTCTGTTCTTTAATTTAATCCTTTCTGCTGCGTGACAGAATCACTAAACACCAAGGAAAGTAATGTTAGGATAACACAGCTTGTTCTCTTGTTTTTGCTGTACTTTTAATTGTACAAATAATCAAATAAAGCACTCGGATGAGGATTAATTCTGAACATGTCAGTAGACTTTCCTAACACAATCGTTACAGATTAATACAATTAGCTTCAAATACCAATAATCAATTCAATAAATGTACAATTTCTGACTTATTTGGTTTACAAACAATAAAGCTTGTTTATAATAAGAAATAGAAAACTGAACATTTTGGTAGAACTTTGGTTTCAGTTTGACAATTTTTGCATCAATAGAGCAAAGTGACATTTAAAACTATTATAAAAATACAGCATGTTAGATGTGCCATGCATTATGTCCATCCATCTTCTTCCTCTTTACCTCTGTGGTGGGCAGAGCCATCCAGAGGTGGGGTCAGTGAGGGTCAAAGGTCATGGTATAGCTGTAGTTCTGTATCAGAGGAGCATCACAACATGCTATCAGTAACATGTTAGTCCTTATAAGATTTAAAACTAATAGAACATGTTTAAGTATGGATCATGTCCATCCATCCATCCATCCATCCATCCATCCATCCATCCAT